TGATGTATATTCCTATCTGGAAGTTCCCTTAGGCAGCTCAAGGTATAGGTAGGATCAGCTTGGGTAGCCCATAGGTTTAAGAACTTAGGGTAGACTCGACAGTATGCGCCCTTAAGCGTACGGTAAGGAGATCGCTCAAAGAGCTCAAGATGGAGGTACAGATGGATCAGGTAGCTCGTAGGTCAGAAACCTAAGGAGCTTAAGTACTCAATGAGATCTCATAACCTTTAGGTCATGGGGTGGACATCGTCGTGGTTTCTAGGTACAGCCTACAGCAGAAAGGTATGGAGGTCGTGTTTACGACCTAGGAACTAAGGAGTCGTGCAGTGTGAGAAGAAAGAATCCTTCATGGATATGAAGTGTGTCTCACCTACAAGTCCTAAAGATCTTATAGGCATGGCTAGTTAGGAAAGTTGATTCGGGAAGATCTCTTTCCTAAGCTGGATTCCCTTGGAGGCCATGTTACCCTAGGTATTTAAGGGTAATCAGGTCACATTACCCATACGCGTACATTATCGTTTTTTTATACTCCATCAATCAAATCCTAACTTGAGCGTCAGAGTGTACGTCGGGACCCATCCCGGAGCTTTGCAGGTCACCGAAGCTTCGAACTGGTAGGTGTGTGTGCAAATTGCAAGATCAATCCGATTTTGGATGTATTATGCATTAATTGGCAACTGTGGGAAAGATTCTACTGTCTTACCGGTTATAAGAGGCTAATCAATTTTTCTCAAAAATTCTCACAAGAAAATTTGAAGATCATGGTAGGCGAAAATTCTCAAAAAAAATTAGCGAAGGAGTTGGACGCGTGGACGTCACGAGTGCTTGAAATCAGTCCTCCACCAGGCTAGTCGACGTTCGCCGGTGCGTTGGGTACATCACTGGAATCATTGTCGGTGCCTTATTCGGCGTTAACCTTGGTGCCAAACACCTCAAGGAGATCTCCGGTAAGGCAGGAACAAGTGGTTGCCCAAGGAAAGACAACAAATCAAGACGTCCAGGATTTGGTGGCAGCTCTGGCCGTAAAAGTGCAACAACAGGAAAACTCGAGGGTCAACCGACCCTGGGGTAGCCAGAAGGACATATGGTCAATCTTTGGGTACAAGACGTACCTTGAGGAGACCAGATGATCCAACTCACTAGGGCTGAGCTAGATCAAATTGGGCAGAGGTTGTGGCTCGAGCGCGGGCGCCAAACCAGCTAGATCAGGCCGTGCAACAACCACAACCTCAAAGGAGGTAGCAAGAAGCCGAGATTAAATAAGTTGACTTAACTAAATTTTTTAATGAACATTTATTATACTATTTTTTAATGTGTCTGGATTATAGCCTTACATTAATTTTGTTACATATTTCTCAATTGAATTTAAAGCAATGGTGTGGTTTAATTTATAAAACTATATAATATATATGTAGTATTAAAAAGTTGTAAAAGTTTATATGAAAGAGAATGCTTCAAGAATATTCTTTTGAATTAATGAGTTTATCGATTAGAGAGATATACAGTTTGATGTAACAATCTATATACTTTAACTTTGTAATTAAATAAGTTTACTTACTATTAAAGGAAATATAGTAAAAGTTACTTTCATATTTAAAAAATAAATAAATATTAAATTATACATACCTGCTGTAAATCGTGCAATCCGATCAATGAATTTCTATATAAATAAAGTGGTATCAATTTTAAAAATTATTTTGTGATATTTATCGCAATAAAATTCGATTAAATATTAATTACGAATTGTTGCAATTTCTTATTATTTTGGTAACCAACCATACAACAGGTCTTCAAAATATGTATATTAAATATATTTTATTTTTAGTAAATATTCTTTGAATATGCACGATAAAATTAAAAATATAATTACAAAATTTAAATTAAAAATCAATTATAGAAATTTTATATTACAATAGAATTTTATTTATCAACATTAATAACAAATTATTGTGATTCCCTATTTATTTGGTAACCAACCATATACCAAAATATTTTATTATCGTATCTTCAAAAAATAATTTAATCAAGAGAATTAAGTTAGAATCCTTTGATTTATCAATAACTCAATCGTTTCAATTTTTATAAAATTATAAAACAAAATTTTCAAAATATCAAAAGAAATTTTATTATTTATCTTTAATAACAAACCAATCTTTATTCATAATAAAAAAATATGCATTCTCCTTTTTTTATGGGCTATTCAACCATATGTAGACCGAAATATGTGTGACAACATTACAAAATATAAGTGCTAAATAAATTTAAAAATCAACAAAACTCTTATTAATATAACTACCACAATCTACATCTATAGGAATTTAAAATGGTTGGAAAAATACCTTTATAATAAGTTTAACTAAAATAATAAATGGTTTGACTTACTATTAGTGGAAATTTTGAAAAAATCATATGTGAATCTTTAGGAATCAAATTTATTCATATTGTTAGACAATTTGGCCGGATTTTCGTTTTAATTATTTAGTAATAAAATTTGAATCCCATTTTACTCGGTCACAAATTTGGAGATTCTTATGCCAAAATTCGAATACCATTTTTTCGTATCATTTCTTTTTTTTTTTTTACCAAAACTCTAATCAAATATGAATACAAATTCAAATCAAAATTAATTTTAAAACCGATCAAATTGGATACAAATTTAGGAAACAAATAATTGTATAATTCTTAAAAAATTATTCAAATCTTTTTTAATAATCTTTTCTTTCAAAATATATTTACAAATTGGATAATACCACGTGTAATTTTTATTTTAATAAAAATTAGATGTGGACAGGATATACATTCAAAATCGTATCCACAGTTTTTGATAACAAAGTCGGTTCATTTTTTATATTTAAAGTTAAACCTTATCCAATTATTTAGAAAAAAAAATTCAAATCAATTTCAAAATTGTGTGCAACTTTTACAATGAAAAATCATGTCCAACGTTTCAATATTTGAATGCGCCTATTTTTTTGGATTCTTATGTTTTTTTATTAACCATGTTTTACCCAGATTTTGGTAAGTTCATATCATTTTATTTTGGTTAAGTTCATATCCATTTTTTTAGTAAAAAAACATTTTCATAAATATAAAGAAATTATTCCAATTTTTTATTAGAATTAATTTCAATTCAATATGTTTAGTAAAAGGTGCAATTTTAGAAAAATTCTGTTGATTTTTAGAAAAACATTGATGATTCTTTCAACTTTTTTTAAACCAAATATTCGGATTAATTTGTTTGGTAAAAAATCGGTGCATATATACTAAAATTCGGTTTCATTTTTGGGAAAAACTAATTATTCTTTTCAATTTTTCTTAATCAAAATTTTGGATTAGATATAAAAATTTAAAAAAGAAAAGCATGAAAATCCCTAAAAAAATCTTTATTTTTTTTTTCTACTAGAATTTTGTTTAATAAATAAGATCCTTTAACTTTTTTATTTTTCATTTTTTGAAAAATGAAATTTGTTAACTATAACTAATAATACGCAATTTTAGATAAAATTGGACTAGATATTTGTTCAATAAATCAGATCATTTTAAAAATATAAAATGGCGTGAACACCTCTTAATAATATCGATTGAGTTTATTATTCACTCTCAACTAATTCGTTTGTACATGTATCAATCCACAAATCTGACTTAAATTTTGATTTGNCATAAGATTTTTTTCTTATCTTTTACTCTATAAAATGTTCTAAATTTATATCACAATATTCACACGACAAATACATATACAATAATTTTTTGTCAATAAATTTTTTAGGGAATATAAATTGACATGCCAATTTTTTGATATTTTGGCTAAATAATTTCAGATCAAATATTTTGGTATCAATTCCATGAATAGAATCGTGTATATTCCACAAACATGTTTGGTAAAATCAATTATGTTTATCTCTTTCCAGTTATGTTTATCTATTTAAACAAACCACATCATTATGATATGATAAATCAATTATGTTTATCTCTTTCAATTATATTGATGTCTTAAAACAAACTTTATCATTATTATATAGTAAAATCAATTATGTTTATCTCTTTGAATTATGTTTATCATTTTAAACAAACCTTATCATTACTGGCAACCTCATTTTTCTGGTGAGTTAACTTGAAACAAATTGTTTTTGAATAAAAACCAGTGCATGTTATATGTTTACACGATATCTTTCAAGATACACATGCAACTTTATTGTTTAAAATCATGAGGTTTTGATGACAATATTCTGTTCAATATTTTTTTGTAACAATTTCTTGCACATTTACGGGAAACTCTTTATTCTTTTACGTTTCCTTAACAAATTGTTTGATATTTTGGTTAAACAATTTCAAATCAATGACCTTCTACTAAATTTGTTAAACCTTATCATATAATATTATTTCAATATTATTTACAACCTCATCTGAGCGCGTGACCTAATTTTTTTGGAGATTAACTTATTTTTCAAAATGTTTTTTTCTTTTTGAGATAATAATTAACAAATTCGAGTGGACTTAGCTACATATAGGAATGGTCTGAGTGGGAAAAAAAAAATCTAATCAATTTCACTTAATTTTTTTAATGAAAACACATGTGCAACTTTTCAAAATTTGATCTTACCCTAAAATTGTGGATTCTTTTTTTTTTCTCAAAATTTATCAAGATTTGGTGAAATAATTGTTATGGAATAAAAATCGGTGCATTTACGTGATATCCTTTAAAAAGCATGTGAGATATTATTGTTTAAAACCGTAAGATTTTGATAACAATATTCAATTCAATTTTCTTGGTAACAATCAGTTACACAATTAGGAAACACCATTTATTCTTTTTACATCTCCTTAATTTTATTTATTTATTTATTTATTTAGGTTAAATAATTTCAAATCGAAAATTTTGATATTATTTCATGAATAAAATCATGTATATCTCATAAACATATTTGGTAGTAAATCAATTATGTTTATCTCTTNCAAACCAACAATGTTGTACATAAGGAAGTGTTCAATAATGTATAGATTTTATTTTCATGATATTTCTAATGACATGAGACATTTTAAATACAAAAATACTTTTTAAAAAACAAATAGGTAATAAATGTTTCCGTGCATCGAAATGGTGGGTATTAGTTATGGCAAAATGAGATTGAGAATAATTTTTTTCCAATGGAGATGACTATATTCTTTTTCAGACAACACAGTGGACCAACATCATGTACAAATGAATGAGTTACATTCCTGTAAAAGCAAAATTAAGAAAGCCACTATAACTTAGATGCAATGCCCGATGCTAACTCTGTTAATTGCTTTCGCAGTACCTTGCCTGGGGCATTCTTTGGTATTGAATCAATGAAGAAGACTTTTCTAATTTTCTTGTACGGAGAAACCTGCAATTACATGTCTTCCATGAGAAGTCTGTACATTTGATACTGAATAATCACTTCTTACTCACCTGTTGTGCAACAAAATTCATTATCTCTGACTCGTTTACTTTACATCCCAGTTTTCGTACTACAAAAGCAGCAGGTATTTGGCCCGCACTCTCATCAGGAAGCCTACAACAGTATTTTCCATCAGATAACTCAACTGGAAAACAGAACTGAAAAGTTGAATGCAGTGCATTTGTTCCATAATGAAAATGATAATAAAAGTTGGAGAAAAGTGTTTATTGGTCGGAAAAAAAAATATATATATATCAAGAACTTTGTGTAATTTCATACACCCCTTTCATTTTTCGTAAGGATGGTTTTAATTACATTTGAATGACAATACAATTATTTTCTAGGTCCGTTACCATCAAGACTAATAAAAAGGATACAAAACAAATATAAAGTTAGTGTATTCAGACATACGGGATCACGGCTGCATCAATAATGCCAGGATGTGATAGAAGAAGATCTTCCAGCTCCGCCGGAGGAACCTGTTTGGTTGCTTACACATGACCAAGAAGTTCGGAATAAAGTATTTTAACAATTAAAAATAATATACATGGAAATCAAGATACAGATCAAACCTGGTAGCCTTTGTATTTAATCAGTTCTTTCATCCTATCCACGTAAAATAGGTACCCTTGCTTGTCCAAATAACATATATCACCAGTTCTTAACCATCCATCAGATTCAAGCATTGTCTTTGTTGCTTCTTTATCTCCTACATAGCCTACAATAAAGCAATACATAATATAAGACTAATTTATAAAAATTCATCACCACCTGGAAATAATTAAATTCAAAAATCTGTAAAAAGCAAGAAAAACTGCCTTTCATGACCATTGGGCCTCTAATCCAAAGCTCCCCTGGCTCGAGAGGAGGCAAACCATGACCAATGAGAGGATCAACAATTTTGACTTCACAATTAGAGGACAAACGTCCATTCGATCCAATTACTCGACTGTCTTTCGAATCCACCATTCGAGTAATTCCGCCAGTTGTTTCAGTTAGCCCATATGCCTGGAAAACCATCACTTGAGGGTGGTAACAATTTAAACCTTATGCATGATACCAATATCACATTAAGTACATAATGGTACGTCAAAACCTCCGACCGACTGGAAAAGGCTAGCTCGAACCTTCGCCTCGCCAATTGAACGCCGAGTACCTGCAATAAACTCTCACATCGGAGGGGTTTTCCGGTGAAAAGCATCCGATGCTTAAGTCAGTATAAGCTTTACTCAATTCTCAAGAGTATAATGGATAAATCGTGCTCAAAACGCAAAGCCTATAGGGGTGACGTACCTGCTTCTAAATGCTGCCCGACTGCCCGGATCAACTAAGTTGGTTGGCCGGCCTGCCCAAGTAGTATAACATATAGTAGTGTGCGTGTGACAGAGACGGTTATTCAGTAGAGACCAATCGAGTCGCGCCACATATCCTCTGCATATGGGGTTTGATTCCTTTGAGGTCTCCTCGAAGGTTCTGGTGTTCGACCATTTCCAGTTGATCCTCGGACTGCTCTCAATCTGTGAGGTCGATCTTCGACCAGACCCTCCATAGTTCTGGGACCGACATGTTCTTCGTGCCCCGAAGTCCCCCTCTAGGTTTTCTCATAATCCACAGGCTCTTCCTCTTGTAGCGTTCGGCCATGACCACCTTGTTTCGACCAGCTCGGCTCATTTAGTTTGCTCGACTGGATGACTGGACTAGTTTATTTCTTTAGGTATAGTATCACATATCATCTAGTCCCCACTCTGGTCGAGTCTGAATGACTCGATCTAAGAGTAGGTTTTTGTCCCTCCGCTTAATTGCTGCACTTTCCACCCTATATTGTTCACCTAGTGAGTGTTCTTCTATCTTTCAATCATTTCTCCTTTGGACCCGCCATTGTGAAATTCAAACCTGCCACTTGTCACGTCTGTCAGATACTTCAATCGTTGCGTCTCCTCACGATTTGCGCCCCTCCATGTTTACTGTTTCGCGCCCCGTAAATGTGTCGTAGTCGTTAGATTTATCTTTAATCCAATGATCATATTGTTTGCCCTTTCACCTTTCCCTCTGCACACCCTATAAATACCCGTACTTAGAAGTTTTTACACTTTTTCACCTTCACTAAATTTCAAACTTATTTGTGCCCTAGCTTTCTCTCGCTTTCGTGTTATCGGCAACCGACTTCTCTGCAAGCACACTTTTTTCTCCGGCAACTTCTCTCACGTGCCACTATGAGTAAGTTTTCGAGTTCTTCGCTTTTTGTATTTTGCTTTTAATTTTCTTCTCCGATTTTCCTTCAAAATTCCGCCTGACTCATCGGCAACAAAGCTTCCACGTTTTTCTTCTTCTTTTCTACCCGATGCCCTAAAAAATTTATC